CCCCCCCCCCCCCCCCCCGTATAATACCTGTAAAATAGATGTAATGTATAAGTATTGTGTTCGTAACGTCGAGCTCTTTTGGATTTCTACAACTGGTGCACTTTAAGCTGATTATTTTTTAATGCGCTGTAGGCTCTTGTGCTCCGGCTTAAATGTATTCTTCTTGCTGTGCCTTTAGTGCTAGTGGGATGTTGTTGCTTTGTGAGAATTCGTTAAAGAAATCCTTAAAGTGGTATTCTAAAGATTTTTTTATGATATGCCCCATCCCTGGAGGTGCCCAAGGCTGAATGGGGCTTGGAGCAACCTGGTCTGGTGGGAGGTGTCCCTGCCCAGGGCAGGGGGGTTGGAGCTGGATGGTCTTTATGGTCCCTTCCAACCAAACCATTCTGTGATTCTATATTAGACAAAATATACTTCTAATTTTTTTTTAGGTCAGAAAGTCTATTTGTTGTGGTTTAAGTAGGGAGAAAAGGCAGATAAAAACCCTTGTGGGTTGAGATAAAGCTAGTTTAATAGAATAGTAATGGAATAGAAAAATAATACTATAGGTAAAAGAATATACAAAGTGAAGTGATGCGACACAAATTGCTCTCCCCACCTGATGACGGGTTGTCATGACACCTGTGGTATGGAATATTCCTTTGGCCGGCTCGTCCTCTCTGTGCTCCCTCTCAGCTTCTATAGAAAGCTGAAAAAAAAGTCCTTGACTTAATATAAATATTACTTAGCAACAACTAAAACAATGTGTTATCGTGGGTTGTCATGACACCTGTGGTATGGAATATTCCTTTGGCCGGCTCGTCCTCTCTGTGCTCCCTCTCAGCTTCTATAGAAAGCTGAAAAAAAAGTCCTTGACTTAATATAAATATTACTTAGCAACAACTAAAACAATGTGTTATCGACATTCTTCTTCTACCAAATTCCAAACACAGCAACTACTAGGAAGATAATTAACTCTATCCCAATTAAAACCAGGACGTTACTTATTGTTCTTTGGATATTTTTGGTTTGGATTTCAAGAATACAAATGCAAACTTGCCTACAGGTTCCCAAACCAGAATCTTGCACATGAGTATTTTTAGGTTTTTGACCAAAAATAGTAAAATGTTCTGAAATAGTTGGTTAATGCTTGCAATTGTGGTGCAAGGTGTATTCCTAATATATATATGTTTTAAATTCACGGAGATTATTGTTAGACGTTTTTAGAAAATAGATAAATTGTCTCTAGATGGATATTTCTAAGTGCAGAAATTAAAGAGGATAACATATTTTACTTGTTTTGCAGAAGGGCTAGAGGAGCCCCCCAAGAAGCGAGCTGTTGAGAAGAGCAAAGATACTAAGGATACTGGAAAGGATGTGAAAACAACCAAGGCAGAAGCCCCCAAGGAAAAAAAGCAGGGAAAAGACACTAGCAAAGATCCAGGAAGCTCCCCATCAACTTTGAGTTCAAATCAAGAAACGGTCACAGCCTCGGATGTAGAAACGGAAGGAAAACCTACTAATGCTGAAAATACTACTGAGCAAAAGCCACCTTCAGCTGAAAAAGAGTCAGGAGAGAATCCCCCCAAGGAAAACAAATGTGAAAATGCGCCGTCGCCCGAAAAGAAAACTACAGTAAGTGCGGTGCCACCGGCTGCCAACAGCGCCCCGGAGGCGGCGGCAGCGCCACCGGCTGCCAAGAGCACCCCGCAGGCAGAGGCAGCGGTGGCAGCAGCGGTGACACCGGCTGCCAAGAGCACCCCGCAGGCAGAGGTGGTGGCAGAGGTGGTGCCACCAGCCACCAAGAGCACCCCGCAGGCAGAGGTGGTGCCACCAGCCACCAAGAGCACCCCACAGGCAGAGGCGGTGGCAGAGGCAGTGCCACCAACCACCAAAAGCACCCCGCAGGCAGAGGCGGTGGCAGCAGCGGTGCCACCCACCACCAAGAGCACCCCGCAGGCAGCAGCGGTGCCACCCGCCACCAAGAGCACCCCCCAAACCAGTGCTACGTTGCTGTCTTCCAAAAACCAAGCCAGCGCCCCGGCGTTGGCCCCCAAGAGCGGCGCTCAGGCGGCCGCCTCGCTGCTGCTGGCCCCCAAAAGTGGCACTCAGGCCACCACCTCGCTGCTGCTGGCCCCCAAGAGCGGTGCTCAGGCAGGCACCTCGCTGCTGCTGGCCTCCAAGGGCACCGCCAAGGCGGGTTCCTCGCTGCTGGCTTCCAAGAGCAGCGCCGAGGTGGCCGCTTCGCTGCTGGCCGCTCGCAGCGGGGCTCAGCAGGGCTCCTCGCTGCTGGCTTCCAAGAGCAGCGCTCAGGTGGCCGCCTCGCTGCTGGCCGCTCGCAGCGGGGCTCAGCAAGGTCCCTCCTCGCTGGCCACCCGGGGTGGAGCTCAAGCGGGTGCTTCTCTGGCCTCCAAGGGTGGCACGCAGGCAGGTTCACAGCAGGTTGCCTCCAAGAGTGGCACGCAGGCCAGCGAGAGCCCTGCCAGGGCTTTGTGCAAGCCGTTAACCAGCGAAGATGCGAAGGAGAGGCAGCCTTTTTTCAACAGACTGTACAAAGCTGTGGCCTGGAAACTGGTCGCCGTCGGAGGCTTCAGCCCCAACGTAAATCACGCGGAACTTCTGAACTCCTCTATTCAGTCCGTAAAAGCCACGTTAGACGTTGCTTTCGTGCCCCTGAAGGAACTTGCAGACTTGCCTCAAAACAAGAGCTCTCTAGAAAATATCGTTTGCGAACTGAGGTGCAAGTCTGTCTACTTGGGTACTGGCTGTGGTAAAAGCATGGAAAATGCCAAAGCGGTTGCTTCCAGAGAAGCTTTGAAATTATTCCTCAAGAAGAGAGTTATCGTGAAGATATGTAAAAGAAAATACAAAGGCAGAGAAATTGAAGATTTGGTACTTCTGGACGAAGAATCAAAACCTTCGAATTTACCTCCAGCTTTAAGAAACCCTCGTGAGATCTTGTAGGGGAGAACCGCTGTTTGTACCGTGTATAGTATTTCAAGACGAGGACTGAAGGTTAATTTTGTACTTTAAAAAAAACGTAGGCTTCCAGATATTTTGTATTTCTTTCTCAGTTTTGCAAGACAATGATAGTCCTTTCACTTGGTAGCAATTGTATAAAACTTGTTAGAGATGACAAGTGCGCATTTAAAGGTATGCCTTAATATATAGCACAGTAGTGTGCTGTTTTATTTGCAAAATAGTCTACCTAATTCTTCTATTTTTAATTAAAATGATTAAGGTACAATTTGCTGTTTAAAACCTGAACAATTTTGTAATTCTTACGATTTGATGGCAGTGTGCTCAGTTGTCTACCGTGTCTTTTTTTAGCCACCTAGAAGTATGTATATAGGGACCATAATACTTGAATGATTGAAAGTCATTGACGAAATTTCAATCAAAAAGAGTTGAATCATCCGTTTCAGGCCTGTTGCTCATGACGTTCACTGTTTCTCGTACCGGGAGAGAAAAAGAGTTGGTTGACTTATATTTTATTTTTTTTGGGGTGGGGGGCTGTTTTTGTAACGTTTGCAATAGAAATGACGCCCTTGATCCCATGTAACGTTATACTAGCGGGTTAGAGCCCGTTTGACGTTACGCTGGCAAATTACCAATTAGCAGTCCAGTCGCAGCTGCTTCAGCCACTGAAACTGTAAGCAGAGACTTAATTTATGTTGTCCAATATCATTTACGCTTTTTTTTTTTCTCCCCAATAAACGCGGATTTCTATACTAAGCATATTTTTGACTGCTACTAAAAAAAAACGATGAAACCTCTGGGATGTGCTTTTTGTAATACTTTGCTTTGGGCTATTTGATATTCCAGCCATTTCAATAACTTTGCAACACCTGAAGACAAGCTTTACCTTTGAGTGGCTTCAAGGTGTAATCCCACGTCCCTTTTCTTTGGGTGCATAGCTGAAATAACTGTAAAATGGGTAGAGAGAACCGATAGAATTATCTTATTTTGAGTTTGGTAACGCTTACCAAGATGAGCAAAATGAGGAACGGCGCGTGAGTCGTCAAGCGCTCGCGCTAATTGAGCCCCCCCTCTTTGTGACGTCGTTACGCCATGGACAGAATGGTTGGAAGGGGAAGAAAAATGGGAGGTGACCTCTTTATTTTCGATGTTGCTGAAATACCTGCACAAACTGCATGTTTTGGTATATTGGTTAATGACATGTAATTGTAAAAACATAATGTCTTCAGTGCTGTTTTGAATTAATCTTGTCCGATTTACAGTAGTTAGCGTCATTTAATGGAGACTTTACACGTGGCTGGTGGATCCATGGATCGAGTCCTCCAGGCATGAACAGGAATTCTGGGATCTCGGTAGTATGTACGTCCACTTAAAGACTTCCAGTTCCTTTGGTGTTGTTTTGGGACTAAACCACAGCGGTGTCCCTACGTGATTGGGAACGGTGGGGGCTGTCCCATCCGTAGCACCTGAACCTTGCCAGGGGCTCATGCTTCCTGATGTGGCCGATGGAGACCTTCCTCTGTCTGTCCCCTGTGCCCTTGGCTTGGGGTTTCTCAGGAGCTGCCCCTCGGTCTCCCTGGAGCATCTCCCGATGTCGGGAAGCAGCGTCCGGCACAGCAGAGTTGTGTGGAACTCTGGTTCCCTGCTCGGTGGGAGTCATGGTGGCCATTGGGGACGTGTGACATCTGTTCTCACACCCTCACCCTGCGCGGTGGAGACTCAGGAGGGCTGGTTTTGCGGGGTGGGGGTTGCATCCCCTGTACCCCCTGAGGTTCAGCTTCTCCCAGATGTTGTGTCTCCAGATGTTGGCACCTGTGTTTCTCGGCTGTACAGCGAGGCTCGGGGTGTTGACTGACCTCCCAGGGATGTGGGGGTGACGGTGTCACAAGGCTGAGGGGCTAGATGCCTTTTTTTAAAAAAAAAAAATTCCTGACTTAAGCTTACTTTTTTAAAAAAATTTTTTGAATGTTATTCCTCTTTGATGTTTGGTTGTGATTCATTAAAGGACGAGTCTGTAGCTACTCTTAATAGAAACTGAAAGTCGAAGTGTGTTATTTTTATTTCACGTTCTGCAGGGAAGGCAGCTCGACAGGCCCATTCCAACACGCGAGTAAATAAGTGTCGTTTGAATGAGAATTCATTAACGTTTAATTACCCCTGAAGGCAGGAAGAGGGAATTCCAGAGAATGGGCTGCAGCAAGGAGCGTGTGTGTGTGTGCTCCTGCCAGCTGTAAAACTGCTGGGGCTTCCTCCCGGGCACCCTCCTGGCTGCTAATGATTGGGATGCCCGTCGTTAATTGTCTGACCTTGCTGATGAGGACCACATAGGACAGAGTTGTTTTGGGGGGGACAAACGAGCACACCCACCCAAGGGAGACACTGACCCTGCCTTTTCTGCAGGGCTACAGGAAATTGCAGGCATTAAACATGGCTCCTGCTTCCTCTGAGGGATCCTGGAGCAGCTTAGGAAGCTATGGCTGATTCCTCTCGGGCCGCTGCCCACGGGGTTGCCGCTGGCGGACCCCAATTTGGGTGGATAGCGGTAAAAGCTCGGGTTTTCCAGCCGGCGGGGGAGTGAAGCGAGGGGGGACGCTGGCCGCAAGGCGGCGATAGAGTGCTCCGCGTGCTAGAGGGGCGGAGCCGCAGCGCTTCATTTGCTTAATATATTCCCCGTGATGCCTCGCGACGGGGCCCGTTCGGCGGAGCCGGTATCGCGGCCTCCCGGGAGAGCGGGGCTCCTCCGGGTGGGGCGGGCTCTCCGCGCAGCGTCTGAGACCGGCAGCGGGAGGTACGGAGCGGCGAGAAACCCTCGCTCTGCGTGTAAGGAGACCCCGATTGGCGGCTGATATATATAAGCGGTGGAAGCCATTTTGGGCGGGATGCTCTGAAGACCTGCACTCTAGGCCACGCACGGAGGACGTTCGTTCCTCACGGGCTTCGCGCCCGCCTAGGGGAAAGTCCCCGGACCGCCGGCAGAGAGTGCCGGGCGCGGCCGCGCCCCGCCCGCCGCCGCCTCACGCCTTAATCCCGCCGAGAGGCCCTCGGGCTGAGCGGGTGAGCGCGGGGCGGGCCTTCGTCACCGCCACAGACACGCAGGTAGTGCCACGGGCGCACCAACAGAACGGGGCTCACTCTCAGGCCATCCCTTTTTACCGCCGACACCGGTGAGCGGCCGGCACCCGCCATTCTTGTTATTGTCTTGTTTGGGCTCAAAGAGACCTTAAAAACCACCCAGTTCCAGCCCCTGCCCTCCCACCAGACCAGGTTGCTCCAAGCCCCATCCAGCCTGGCCTTGGACACCTCCAGGGATGGGGCAGCCACAGCTTCTCTGGGCAACCTGGGCCAGGCTCTCACCACCCTCACAAGAAAGGATTTCTTTCTAATATCTAAGTCTCCCCTCTTTCAGTTTAAAACCCTTCCCCCTTCTCTTATGGCTCCCCTCCCTGATCCAGAGTCCCTCCCCATCTCTCCTGGAGCCCCTTTAGGGACTGGAAGGAGCTCTAAGGTCTCCCCGGAGCCTTCTCTTCTCCAGGCTGAACCCCCCCAACTCTCTCAGCCTGTCCTCACAGCAGAGGGGCTCCAGCCCTCCCAGCATCTCACAGAATCACAGAATCTTCTAGGTTGGAAGGGACCTCAAAGATCATTTTGTCCAACCATCAACCTAACTGACAAAAATAGACACCTGCACAACAAACAAGGAGCATCATCACTAAACCATACCTCCCAGCACTACATCAACCTGTCTTTTGAACACCTCCAGGGATGGTGCCTCAACCACCTCCCTGGGCAGCCCGTTCCAATGTCTGATAACCCTTTCAGTGAAAAAAATTTTCCTAATATCCAGCCTGAACCTACCCTGGTGCAACTTGAGGCCATTTCCTCTTGTCCTGTCGCCTGTGACTTG